AAGGAAAACTGAGTCATAGTTAAAAAAACTAGAGAAAAGACTGTAAGCGAAAACATATGTATACATACAAAACTGGGTGGCATCTGTCCACCTGCGTGGGAAACAGAGGTACGATGTGTCCGCGTGTTACCAGTGGTTACTACGGCGCATGGGGACTGTGGATGAATTTCCTTCTTTGTACATTTTGAACTTTATTCAAATGAAGATGGATAATTTTATCATCATCAGGCTAAGCCTTTCCGTTTTGATAATTAAAAGCGTGAGAAAAATCAGGCTCGAAAGAGTCTTATTTGTTCTTTACCTGCCACCTTGGGGTTTAGCGCCCCCTCATTCTTTCGCAGAGAGGGCTGGGAACTGTTTTCCAGGCAGAACCCAGGCCCTGTTTGCAGGTGGTGCCATGGCTCACCCCCACGTCCCAGTGGGCTGGCCATTTGTTAGGCTGACCACTGAAGGTTACAGGGTTTGGGAGTTGCAAGTAAGAGAAAAATAGGCATGGTTAAACTATGAAAGACTGCAGACATCCTCTTTATAGAGAGGTGAGAATTAGCGAGGGTCTAGCAACACTCACGGCTTTAATGCTGGCTATGAACAAAGTTTAAAAAACAACCTCGCCTGTTTTAAAACTATTGAATGGGGTCCTTCCCAGTTTTTTAAAATAGACCCAATACTCCCGCAGAGAATGCATCAAAGTCTCTCTGATCTACCTACCTCGATTCTATGACTTAGAAATTGGACTAACCGAGTGAGTAATATACATACATTATATATATATGTCCCTTACCTATGGTGGCCTTCGAAGGATGATCACTGCAGCCTTGGGATCTGGTGGCCACTGAAATCCTCAGCCCCCCAACCCCCTGTAATCCTAGCAGCAGGGAACACCCCTTCATTAGTTTGAGATGAGAGGGGCAGAGAGCATTGCTGAACCCATGTTTTGAACCCCACACGTCTAGTCTCATAACACCCGCTTCGTTTCTACCCAATCCTACTGCTCCCTCTTCCCCTAAGTTTCCCCTGCCGGGAAGGTGGGAAGCCTTTTGTTCTATGCGGTCTGCTCCGGGCCCAGCAGGTTAGACATGTGAATGGAAATCAGCTGCCACAGACTGCGAGTCTAGAAGGCAAAGCAGGCCTGGTGCGTGCTGTGGGGAGGTGCTCGCTTTTTGTCTTGGGAACCCCCGTGCCATCTTCGCTCTAGTCTTTTCATCCACCTGTCATCTAAAACGGAAAATACCACAAGCGGAATGGAGCACAGAGTCTAAGAAATGGGAACAGGCTTAGAGATCAGTAGGTATAACACTTACTGAGGTGTGTTCTGCAGGACGCCACCCCTGCAGGTGCTCTCCCCAAAAGGCTGCCTAACGAAAGCACTTGGGAAGCGGCACGCACACTGCACCCCCTGCCCCGGAGTCTGAGCACACGAGGCTCGGCCATGCCCCAGAATGAGTGAAGTACGTTCAGCTCACATGCTAGCTCTTGTAGGGGGCTTGGGCCTCCCTTCCCAGGTCACAGGATCTCTGTGGGAAAATGCTCTGAATTTCAAATCTAACTCTCCATGAACTGGAAGCATCCTAGGGGCCACCACATTTTCTTGACGGTAGCAGACACTCAAAAGCATCGTGTGACCCATAAAACACCTATAAGGTCAAAGTGGCAATAACTTTGCAATGAAAAATGTATATGTATTCATACCTGTCAGCTAAAAGATTAAATGTATACTCAAAGTATTTTCTTTCCTCTCTTGCTTCCCTCTCTCTCCATCCCATCCCTGCCTCTTTTCTTTTTTCTTTTCTTTCTTTCCTTCTTTCTCCTCCTCCCCTCTTTCTTTCTCTATCTCTCTTTCCTCCCTCCCTCCATTCTTCCCTCCCTTCTTTGCCATTTGGGCAGCCCAGAGGACTGACTCGTATCAAAAGAATTTTAAGGCTTCAAGACTGGACTGGATATGGAGCTGCCCTACATAAAGATACAAAATCCATGCTCAAAGAGGCTTATTTTAGCTCCAGCAAAGCTTGTTGCATCTCAGAATCGCTCAAAGGCCCAGGTCAAGGCTGGTGGCCTCTGTTACTATTTTTGAAGTCAGACAAACTGTTCAGAGGACTGAAACGGTGGTTTTGTGGTGGGAGATGAAAATCATTTGGAGCTGATACTGGAATCCTAAGCTAGTGAATATCTACATGAAGTCAAACATCTGGACGAAGACATAGAAGACGAAGCCATTCTCCACACGATTTCCAAATGGATCAGGGATATCACGTTGATCTTAAAACGAAACACTAAACTACTTTTTCCCCATGTTTCATCCCAGTATTCTCGTGTCGCGCACACATATAGTTAAAAACCTCAAGGGGGCAGATGGTCCATGGGTATCATTTTTAGTTCAAATGTAGAATAACGTTTGGATACTCTTATGAAGGCAAATTAAATATTTTTAAATTAGAAAAAAATGTTCCAATATTTTAGGAAAGGCTGGACTTCACCCTAAAAAGTACCGGAATATTAATGTTGACATTCAGTGAAAACAAATGGAGGCAATACGCCAATATGAGGCCTGCAGAGTCGATGTTTTCTATGAGTCCTGTTTTATTTATGTATTGCTTCCTATTCTTTCATTTCTTTTACAAGGGCAATGGGAAAACTTTGGACCATAAATACACTTCCGGCAACTCTATCTTATGTCTCTTAGCAGAAAAAGGGGCCAGGCTGTCTGTCAGTGGTAATGTCGGCGGGCGAGGAGAGCAGACAGGTGGAAATGGAGCTCACGTCTAACACCTATTATTTATGAGGCACTCTACAATGTTCCTTCATTTCTATCCCCATGAAAACCTATGAGGTGTAAATCCTTGGACCCGTTTTAGATACCAAGGAGATCAACTCAGGAAAGTCCTACAGCTTGTCTAAGACCAGGGAATGGGGAGCTGTAGGGGGTGTGAACTCTGACCTGCCTGTTCTTTCCGTGACAGCAGTCCGACTGCCACAGGGAAAGGGGTTTCCTGCAAACCAAAATATAGGTGGATAGGATGGAGTTTTGCTGCTTAAAGAGACAACCGCATTTCACAAGAATATGCTTACGTCACCAGAAACCTACTCCTGAAATGACTTTAATCATCACGGTTGATTCCATGCAAAGAAACACATCCAGAGATATTAGGAGCTGCCTTTGAGGGCTTTGCTTTGCAGCCCTTACTGTTACCACATGTAACTTTTATGCTAGTCTCCTAGTACAAAAGGGCTCCTAAAATAGAGGGAATTGTTTAAAGGCACATGAACATTCAAGCCTCAAAAACTGAAAGGAGTGAGCCACATGCAGAGTGATCCATGCTCTGGATCATATCTTAGAATGATCTACCTTAGAGTCTGACATACCTTAGAATGGTGTAAATTTTGCATTGTGGTGGTGTGTGGTCCATGCATGGTTGGCAGAACTCAAACAGACTGTTTCAAGAAGTCTTATCCCTGACATTGAACTCCCAAGAATATATTACCCTGCAGTATCGATGTAATTTCTTTTTTGGGGGTAAGAAACCATTTAAAAATATATTTTTATTGATTTCAGAGAGAAAGGGAGAGGGAGAGAGAGACAGAAACATCAATGATGAGAGAGAATCATTGATCGGCTGCCTCCTGCACGCCCCCTACTGAGGATTAAGCCCGCAACCCGGGCACATGCCCTTGACTGGAATCTTACCCGGGAACCTTCATTCTGCAGGCTGACGCTCTATCCACTGAGCCGAATGGGCTAGGGTTGATACAATTCTTTATGTATATTTCAAACACACTGAACAGAGAAGAACTGTCAAATTAAAGTGACATTTTAGAATTCTCCTGATTCTGAAGTATTTCTGGTTACAGCCATATCTGTTCTATCTGCTTCAAATGCAGAATGCCATTCAATTTGTACCATCTTGAAGATGTGTGTGTATTATGGGAACACTTGTTGTTTTCTAGAATTGTTTTCATTTTCCAAGTTTGTAATATATGGGTTAGTTTTTAGACCTAATAACAAATAGGACTCTAAGAGATACAACACCATGAGGGCATCATTATAAGACTAACTTCCGACTAAGCCAGCGGTTCTCAACCTGTGGGTCGCGACCCCTTTGATGGTCGAACGACCCTTTCACAGGGGTCACCTAAGACCATCCTGCAGATCAGATATTTACATTACGATTCATAACAGTAGCAACATTACAGTTATGAAGTAGCAATGAAAATAATTTTATGGTTGGCTCACAATATGAGGAACTGTATTTATTTTATTTTTTTTTGTTTTTGTTTTTGTTTTTTTTAAAAAATATATTTTATTGGCTTTACAGAGAGGAAGGGAGAAGGATAGAGAGTTAGAAACATCAATCAGCTGCCTCCTGCACACTCCCCACTGGGTCTGGGTCCGCAACCAAGGTACATGCCCTTGACCGGAATCAAACCCGGGACCCTTGAGTCCGCAGGCCGACGCTCTATCCACTGAGCCAAACCGGTCAGGGCGAGGAACTGTATTTAAAGGGCCAGAAGGTTGAGAACCACTGGACTAAGCCAATGGGCCAAATGTTGGTGTTCCCAAATATTTTTGTGGGTGTCTAATTTGACTGCTATTCAAAATAGAAAACCACAGATATTGTATGAGGCACTGACATTTATTTTTTGTCCAAACAAACCCAGACTATTATGTTCTACTATTTAGAAACAGCAACCAGAGAAACGGACAGGCACAGTGAAGGAACAGGAGGCTGGAAGACATTTCCTATATTTTGATACCAGAGAAAGAAAGGGATTCGTCAAATCTGAAAAGTGAAGTTAGTAGTTGAGCAACGACCTTTTCGATACCAGGTAGAAGTGGAGTGATACAGAAAAAACTCAGGAAAACTGAGTCTGCACAATACCTTATACTAGGTATACCTTAATTTTGGGTAAACATGCCAAGTAGCTTAATGGCAACTTGGGCTTTCAAGACATTCCAGGTACATTTGGGAAAAGATTTAAACTGCCCGTAGAGGGCAGCTACTCACCACATCGAAGGCGGTAAACACGTGACAATAGTGGTGATTGGACTTCAAATCTTTTGTGATGTAAGCAAACGTGGAGAGGTCTTCCGGGTCCTGGGCGGCACAGGAGATGTTACGAATTTCATGCTCAGCAATTATGTTCTGGAAGAAATGACATGAATGACCATTGCTTTCCTTTGCAAACCAGCATATTTTATTTTATTATTATTTTTTCAAAATCCTCACTCAAGGATATTTTTTCCACTGAATTTTAGAGAGAGTGGAAAGGAGAGGGAGAAACATAGAAACACCGATGTGAGAGAGACACATCGATTGGTTGTTTCCCACATGCTCTCGACCAGGGCTGGGAGCCTGCAACTAAGGAAGGTGCCCTTGGTGGGAATTGAACTTGGGACCCTTCAGTCCACAGGTGGATGCTCTATCCACTGAGCCAAACCAGCCAGGGCACAAACCAGTATATTTTAGAACCAAGGCAAATGACCAGAGAAGCAGCCGCTTTCTCCCTTCCTAGAATGTTCTAGACCAGAAACCTTCAAAGTGATCCAACACACTCTCCACAGGTAAGTGTATGCCAGGTCTGGAAGGCATGTGTTCGTTTAATTAAAAACAACCTAAAATAGTCACATCCTAGAGCAGCGGTGCTCACCAGGTGCTGCGCACAGAAGCAGTTGGGGTGGCAGCCGCTTCTTTATAAAGAGTCATTGCTAATCACTTTCCTGTCTCCATTCCCCACGGGCACCTGTGGATAAGCAGGGCGGCCTCCTCCTGCCCTGGTCTGCACACTGGGAGGAACTCTGCCCCAAGGAGGCTGATCCGCACCATCGTCCCACCCCTGTCTGCTCCCTGCCCCTCCTGCCCCAGGGCCAAGGTTGGTGCAGAAGAAGGCAGCAGGCAGGCGGAAGTATCAAGGGGCTGTCTCTCTCTCTTAAAAAATTTTTTTTTTATTGATTTCAGAGAGGAAAGGAGAGGGAGAGAGAGATAGAAATATCAATGATGAGAAAAAATCATTGATTGGCTGTCTCCTGCATGCTCCCCAATGGGGATCAAGCTTGCAACCTGGGCATGTGCCCTTGACTGGAATTGAACCTGGGACCCATTAGTCTGCAGGTTGACGCTCTATCCACTGAGCCAAACCAGCTAGGGCAAGGTGCTGTCTCTTGACTCTGTGCAGGCTAAGGTGTAGGGGTGGGAAGAAGGAAAGACCACACTGCACTATTTGGGCCTTGGATGCCTTGTTTGAGTTGGGGTATTGGGTGTGACACTGTGTACACGCTTACCACTGGGGATCAAGCCTGCAATCTGGGCATGTGTCCTGATTGGGAATTGAACTGTGACCTCCTGGTTCATAGGTCAGCACTCAACCACTGAGCCACGCTGGCTGGGCTCTTGCAAATAATTTCGATGCCCCTCATCCCTACCCAGCTCTCACTGGTTTACATAATTTCATTTTTCTCTCTGTAGCATTTCTTTATGCCATCTCTCTGCCAGCACCCTCATCCCAACCTGCCTCTGAGGATCACTGGTGGAAGGTGAGTGAGGAAAGGTGTAAGTACCATTATCCTGAAGCACAAGATGACTAAGAAGCATCCTTGGCTGCAGACCCCTGCTAGAAACTTCTTTTGATACACAGATGTACAGTGGGGCCTTGACTTACGAGTGTCCCGACTAACAAGTTTTTCGAGATACGAGCCGTCTCTTGGCCAATATTTTTGCTTTGAGTTGCGAGCTAAAATTCGGGTTACGAGCCAGCTTCAGATACCCCACCGCTAGTTGGCGCAGCAAACGTCACAGTGAACGCCACAGCAGCCAGCAGCCCCAGTGAGGACTTCATGTCCCTCACTCTCCTGGGCTGCGTGGCTGGGAAGCAATTATAGAATTAACACATAAAAGAAAATTAAATTAAGACATCCTTCACCGGGGCCATGTCTGTTGACATTACATGCAGTGCTCTGTCAACTATAACTCAAATTGAAATTGGAATCCCATAAACAAGTAAGATTCTATTGCAAGATAAACGGTTTCAAAACAGGAGATCATGAGCCTCTTCTGGCATTTGGAGAGCATTTCTTCGAGTAGAAATATGCATTAGGAATGAGTGAGTCTTAAAATGAATTTAAAAATAGTAAGATCTACAAAGCCTTTGCAGGTACGATGGAGGCAGGTGCTGAGAGTCTCTACCATGATTTTAATTGGGGGCTGTCAGTACCTCGGGAAGTCTGGGTGGATCTGGTCTCATCTGTCCAGGATTCACTATTACCGGAAACAGAACTTTGGCTCCAACTGTTAACTAAATTGGCATTTTGTGTTGTTTCTTTTTTTTGGTTAATCCTCACCCAAGGACATTTTTCCCATTGATTTTTAGAGTGGAAGGGAGGGGGAGAGACACAGAGAGAGAAAGATCGATGTGAGAGACACATCGATTGGTTGCCTCCCCCTTGCACCCCAACCCAGCCAGTGACTGGGCCAAGGACTGAGCCTGCAACTGAGGTACATGCCCTTGACCGGAATCGAACTTGCAACCCTTCAGTCTGAGCCAAACGGGTTAGGGCCATTTCGTGTTCTTGAGATCATTTACCAGCATAAAGTGGGTCAACTTCTTGGGAAAGCATTACAGTGAAAAGTGCTCCATGGTTTTTATTGCACTAAATTTCTGGAATCTTGCCAAATGATAAGATGTCGTGCTTGATGATTTTCAATGGTGTATGGCAGCATTGTGGCCCTGGGCCTGTGTAGGGAGGTATTTTTTTTTAATTTTAAAATTGATTTCGGAGAGGGAGGGAGAGGGAGAGAGAGATAGAAACATCAATGATGAGAGGGAATAATTGATTGGCTGCCTCCTGCACTCCCCTTACTGAGGATTGAGCCCACAACCCGGGCATGTGCCCTTGACCGGAATCGAACCCTGACCTCCTAGTTCATAGGTTGACGCTCAACCACTGAGCCATGCCAGCCAGGCGAGGGAGGTATTTTTTAGCAGAACTTGATATATCCACAGTGCCAAAATGTGGTGAGGACCTGGGATCTCACTACTGAAACACTGACATCATGAGGAGGGACAGGTGACACACCTCAGTTTAAAATGAACTCTTACATTGCTCAGCCCCCACACTTACGCATGTTCTAAGGAGCCTAGAAGCAGTGGTTCTCAACCTTGGCTGCACATTAGAATCACCTGGGAATCTTTTTAAAATCCTGATTTCTGGGCCTCACCCTCCGGAAATTGTTTCTTTGTTACTAATGTTGTGGTCCCACCCCATAACAAAGAAACAGAATTTCTGGAGGATGAGGCCCAGAAATCAGGATTTTAAAAAGATTCCCAGGTGATTCTAATGTGCAGTCAAGGTTGAGAACCACTGGGGTAGGAGGTGGGAAAGTCAAGTTTTAGTCCTTCTCCAAGATCAATAGATTGTGTGATTGCTCGACAGTCCCTTAACCACTCTACTTGTCCAGGTCAGGTTGAACCAACCCCTCGACTGTACCAGGGCAGGATTAAAGAGATGTAGTGGTTAGGAGAGAGCTGCTTATGAAGAAAGGTCAACGAAAACATCAAATATAAATGTTAAGGTGTAACTGGGTTGAGCCTAATTACAGGCCTAGTGGTCACTAGTAACTAAAGATGCCAAGTCTTCCAATATGTCTACATGTCCATGTCCTTCTCTTCAAATCAAAGTGCTCACCAAGATAACACTTCCCCTGGGGAGAAATCTCTGGTACAGACCAACAGCAGGACTCTGGAGTTTATGTACCTGCCCCTTCCCGGCTGTGGGCATTAGAGGTTGGTCTTTGCTAAGGAACAGAGTGTCGTACAAAGATGCCAGTGCAAACACTGCTCGCATCTAGGTGTCCGAGCACAGTTCCTTCCACGCCACGACCTGAGGGGTCAAGGTCCTTCAATTGTGGGTCCTCCATGACTTCTGAGACCAGGCCTGCAGCCCTGGTTGCTGGTAGTGTTGCTCAGCCTTCTACAGTCAAACCCCACCAGTGTGGTGTTGCACCATTGCTTGTTTCTACTCCTCCAAATACTGCCTGTCTACTTTAGTCCTCACACAGCAAGCAACTCCTAGACCAGTGGTCGGCAAACTCATTAGTCAACAGAGCCAAATATCAACAGGACAACGACTGAAATTTCTTTTGAGAGCCAAATTTTTTAAACTTAAACTATATAGGTAGGTACATTGTTATTAACTTAATTAGAGTACTCCTAAGGCTTAGGAAGAGCCACACTCAAGGGGCCAAAGAGCCGCATGTGGCTTGAGAGCTGCAGTTTGCCGACCACGGTCCTAGACTATTGTCCTGAGTCCCCTGCTCTCTCCCAATCCGCTGTCAGATTGGGGCAGATCAGCTACATTGCAGGACACTGGGATGGGGACCCTGGATAGCCAGTTAAGGTCAATGTCCCCACATTACTGAAGAACCCAGGCACAGCCCTGGCCTGTGTAGCTCAGTTGGTTGGGCATCAGCCCCATGTACCAAAGGTTGCTGGTTTGATTCCCCAGCCAAGACACATGCCCAGGTTATAGGCTCCATCCCCAGTAGAGGGCATGCAGGAGGTAGTCCATCAATTCCTGGTCAGGGCATATGCCGGGGTTGTGGGCTTGATCCCCGGGGGCGGGGGGGGTGGGGGGGGAAGGAAGGGTACATGTAGGAGGCAGCCTATCAATATTCTGCTATCACATTGATGTTTTTTTTTCTCTCTCCCTCTCCCCCCCCCTCTAAAAATCAATAAAGAAAATATTAAAAAAAGAGAAAAATCTAGGCACATAGTCATATAGTCATAAAGAGGTCGGCTCCACCTATCACCAGCATATGCACTTTGCCTTTGCTCTAGATTTGAAAATATGCAGGGGACCACCCTGAGGACTTATTTATTTAGTGTCTCCTTTAGTGTCTTTATTCACCCAAAATTACCTTTTGCATGTCTTTTGGTGCTTATACTTTTTTTTTTTTAACAGTAGTATATATTACTTTCTTTTCTTGGTGCATATACTTCCAAAGAGTAGTCATCTGTGAGGAGAGATCTATCTAATCATTGGTGGTTGAAGCTTGCTAAGGTTGTTCATCGAAGCCAGTGTCAAACTCACACACTGAAAATATATTGCTATTCATGGTTTTTCAAATGCAAATGGGGTGGAGAGTTGCTCCAGGTTAGAAAAAACTCCAAATGCCAAAGCCGTTCTTGAAATTTAGACATAGTGGTAGCAATGATATCTTCAGTGAGTTTGGGAACTTTTAAAATCAACTGACTATCATTTAAGGGATGACACAAGTTTATGCTCCAGTAAAAACGTTTCCTAGAAATAAAAAAGCAAATCAATTGGGATTTTTCTGATTAAGTCTCCACAATTGTAATCTGGCCAACAGTGACTGTCACTAACACATTGCAGAGTTGAAACTAACATTCCACGTATTGACTTGGAGATTGTCAGCCAGCATGATCATGCCGGGTTATAAGCTTTCTGCTTGGTTTTCAGAACTGTTTCTAAACCTGGGAGGTTGTTTCCTTAAGTAGATTTGAGGGGCTTGGGCATATCTGACTGCTAATGTGGCAATCTCCTTCATTACAGAAAAAATCAAGAAAACTTCGAATTGGTTGATACAGATGCTCAGGTTTAGTGTAGACACCCAAGGGTCACTGCCCATGGGACTTCCCCTGGTATCTGAATCTGGCTGCCCTGGCCCTAAGGTACCCTTACATTCACCTGCTCCATGACTTTCAGCTCCCAGCGGGGAGGTCTGGGTGGGGAAGTCCAGAAAATAAATGGTATTCACCAGTGGTGATCACCTCATTCCCCCTCCTTCTATACTTCATCAGTTGGAAGGTGTAGAAATAAAACACATGGACATTGGGGGTTTTGTGAGAAGGAGCCAGTCAACTTTGCGTTTAGGGAGAATGACAGTGTTCACACCCACGCTTTCTGGCGCTGTCATCTTCGCCAAGAAAGGAACTGCAGAACACCTTTTAAGTAAAATGCAACCCAGCTGTCCACACTCAACCTAAGGCTCCCAACTCTTCCCACTGGGAGTACAAAGTCCCAGCAGAGCCCAGCACAGTCTGGCTTTTTTTTCTGATTGTGTCTCTTAAGAAAACAACACAGCCCAGCCGGCGGGGCTCAATTGTTGAGCTTTGACCGATGAACCAGGAGGTCATGGTTCAATTCCAAGTCAGGGCATATGCCCGGGTTTCCGATTAAGTTTCCACAGTGTGAGGCCTGCAGGAGGCAGCTGATCAATGATTCTCTCTCATTATTGATGTTTCTCTCCCTCTCCCTTCCTCTCTGAAATAAAAAATAATAATATTAAATAAAGAAAACAATACAGCTGAAATTCTCTTTTCCATCTCCGCAGCTGAGAATTAAACACATTTATAAAATATCAAAGTCAGAAAATGTGTTCCTTGGTGAGGTATTCATTACATGCATCAAATGAGAGGACATATGTCTCTAGAGAAATGGAAAGACATATGTCTAAGAGGATGACATTGCTTCATCTTCATTCTATACATCATTTTTTTCTGTTCTAATGTTCTCTAAATCCAAAGGGACAAGCCAGATAGTAAGTGGCCACAATCTATTAGAGAAGGCTCCATAGGCACGTGAAAGCAGAGTATGTATAGGAATCCTAGGACAAGTCCGCAAACTGAAATGTGCCCTTCTGTAGACACGTGTGAGTGTGTCTGCAGTTGTGTTTAGGGAGCATGAAGTTCGGGGGCATGTTGGTCATGATGGGAAGCGAAGGATGTTAGATCACATACTCAGGACTGTGTCTGATATCTAAGCCACAGAGAAGTGCAGTACCCACCTTATTTGTTGCATCAATAAATTTGACTCCTTTATATGAGACTGAAAGAATAATAGTAGGGACCTTCTTCATTTGCTCGGTGGACTTCTGAAATTAAAATTAGAGAGCTGTTAGAGCAGTTTGTGTTGCATGGCAACTGTAGCACATAATTTTTTCTCTTGAAAGATAAAAATGAGCTCTACACACACACACACACACACACACACACACGCATGCACCAAACGCACTCTCATGTAAATGTTACGTCTCCCTTCTCCTGGGCTTAGCTATGGTTTGGGCTTATACAGAGTTTGTCTCGCACTTGAGGCTCTGGAAGGAGCTTGCTCTGCTGCGTCACATGGACGAAGGGACACTCACTCCCCTCCACCCCCCACCTAAAGGAGAAATGCATGGCACTGCCTCCCACGGTGATTGCAAGTGACGATTCTTCTGACTCGAATTAGACCATGTCGGGTTTAACTCCAAGGGTGAGGTTAGCATGAATAAAATATATACCACCTCTCCTTTTTTCCTAGTCACTCTCTTTCTTCAGGGCGCAAGGTCTGTCTAAATACGCACTTACAAAAGGGATGTAAAATACATCGCTATGCATTTTTCTTGAGCCTGGCCAAATCTGTGACAGCTGATAGTGTATTTATAGCGGAATCACCGTGGCCACACAGGATGTAATGCCGCCTGTGACAACTAAGCAGTCTGGGTGCAGCCTGTGCTCGGAGCCACAGCAAAACCTGCCGGTCCAGGTAACCTACTTTGTCATTCAGCGCTACTCCGTTCTCTTAGGCCAAGTTCTCATGGTAGATGCTCACACTGGCTAAACACACTTAGAGTGTGCAGCTTGCAGCTTCATGCATCTGCAAGAAGTTTCTGCGTAATTTAGTATGTGCCTCTTCCGTTTAGTTGTACCACTCATCACAGGTCACTGACAGTCTGTTTACTTCTTCCCCGCTATGGATACTCCCCTAACAATCACATCCACAGCCAGAGGGACCTACCTGACAGTTAGCCTGATGCGTTTTCCAGACAAGACAGGTGGGAACATAACAGGAAAGAAAACACATAAAAAGGTGAGTTGAAACCATTTCAGTAATCCGCCAACCGCATACATTCATTAAAAAGTAAACAGAAGAGGCTTGATGGCTCTATGTGGACGCAGCGAAACCGTTATTTTAGGAATGCTGCAGGCTTTACAGACCCGTCTCTCCGTGTCTTCTGTTTTCTCATCATTCTGTTCACTGCATTGCACAGTCTTAGGACTGACATGCAGGAACCTTCTGCTGTGAGCGGTCCACTACCAGCCGTCTTGTGTATATTAAGGGAGTTGGGAGACAATATGAACTTTTTTGATTTCTTCGTTTACATGTACTTTCCAATTTTCTGTTTGTGAATTCTGACACTGGACCAGAATGAAAGGAAGCTTTTAGTTGGGTAGTGTGAATGATAGCCATTGAACTCAATAATGATAATTATACTGCCTCTCTCACTTGAGCCACTCAAAAGTGATTTTGTCCTAGTTATTTTGACACATCTTTTTGATAGTTACCATACCCATTTCAAAGATAAAGATAATGGATTTCTAAGAGGATTGCTACTTAGTATTTATTAGGTGTTTCATACAGTATAGAAAAAGCAGCTCTTTTGAAGGGCTTTTTTGTTGTTAATCCTCAACTGAAGAAAATTTTTTCCCATTGATTTTTAGAGAGAGTGGAAGGGAGGGAGGGAGAAGGAAAACAAGGAAAAGGGAGAGGGAGAGAGAGGAAGAGAGAGAGAGAGAGAGAGAGAGAGAGAGAGAGAGGGAGAGAGAGAGAAACATCTGTGTGAGACAGACACATGGAATGGTTGCCTCCCTCACATACCCCGACCGGGGCTGGGGATCAAACCTGCAACCCAGGTATGTGTCCTTGACCAGGAATGGAACCCGAGACCCTCCAGTGCTTTACTACTGAGCAACACAGGCCAGAGCTTGAGGGCCTTTCCAACGAGTTTTAAAATTACCCAGACTCACCAATTTTCTTTTGTGATTGCCAAGAAAAGACACTATGAAATTGGGATATGAGGTTAGATATTTTTACCTTTTTAATGCTTTATCCAACCAACTCTTAAGCATGTGCAAGATAAATCACAGGCCAGGCTAGGAGAAATGATGTGCAGTGTGCTGATTTTAAGGCAAAGCGGTGGGCTGAACTCTGGAAAGAGAGAGGGCTATGGCAGGCATGGGAAGGGGTTTGGTGGGCTGAATGTGCAGTTTGTGAAGAATTCTTTGCAAAGAGTAACAATGGATTGCAACGAAACACCTTGCCTATCTCTTGCCTCGAATATCGGGCATATTCTCCTGAACAGATCTATTGGTAACATGAAACAATATTTAACCACATAAGGTTAAAATATCAATATTTATTTAGTAATTAAGAAACCCCCTCCCAAATTAAAAATTAAAACAAGAAAAACCCAGTTGTCATTCATTTAGTGGTTATATTGGGCAGCTCATTGGGCTCTGGAAGAACTCAGAATCTATTTCAGGGGACATGAAACAGACCTCAGATTGTGTGCTAGCTGCAATTGGCTGAAGAGGGCTGTCTGAAGGGCTGTGTTGAGAAGGATTCTGAGCCTGTGTCTGGGCTCGTGGGAAAGAGGGCTGGGGATGAAGGTGCCCTGGGAGAGGGAGAGGAAGAGCAGCACGTTCCTGGCCTGGTCTGACAGAGTGAACGGCTACAAGTATTGACTAATGTGACAGAGATATGAACAAAGTGTCAACAGAGTACTGAGCAGGGAGAGCCTCAGTTTGCATGAGAGAGTGGGGCAAGACATTCATTCATTCATTCATTCATCCACTCAACAAACACTAATTGCCTGCCAGCTGGCTCTTAAAAGACAAATAGGAGCTGGGCTGGCATGGCTCAGTGGTTGAGCATAAACCTATGAACCAGCAGGTCAAGGTTCAATTCTAGGTCAGGGCACATGTCTGGGGTTGTGGGCTCCATCTCCAGTAGGGGGAGTGCAGGAGGCATCCAATCAATGATCCTCCCCATCATTGATGTTTCTATCTCTCTCTCCCTTTCTCTTCCTCTCTAAAATCAATAAAAATACATTTTTTAAATAAAAAAGAGAGACTTTATGTTTTTAATCCTCACCCAAGGATAAGAGAGAGAGAGAGAGAGAGAGAGAGAGAGAGCTCTATAATAAAATATATGTGTGTGTGTGTGTGTGTGTGTGTGTGTGTGTGTGTGTGTGTGTATGACAAGCAGGAATTTCCAGGTGGCAAAAGAGGCTGTTTTAGCAGCAGAATCAACATACACATACACATATGCCTGGAACTAAGAAAGAATGTGGTGGGTGTGGGCAATCATTAGGAGATGATGCTGGTGCAGTAGGTTTGGAAGATTGTGACCTGCTCCGCTAAGCTAGGATCCAGTGGCAGCTTCTAAGGAGGGAGTGAGACAGTCAAATCTGTGTCGCAGAGAGATAGCTCTGATTTCTCTCTCTCTCTCAACAAGGAGAGGCTGAGTGCAGGGAGGCAGGAAGCTCTGGTACAAACCCAACGAGAGAGCCTAAGCAGCCGGGATGAAGTAGAGGCGCTGGAGAATGCGCCAGGGAGCCACGGTTCCAATGAGGAGGCATCAAGAGGATCTGCTAACTGATCCGCCCGGAGATGAGAGAACGAGAGGATGTCACGGGTAAAGAGGCCATTCGCTGGGATAAGGAACACTGGAGGGGAGTATGCTTTTGCACACAATCCTTTTGAATGTGCTCAGTTTGATCATCAGTAAGAAATCAGAAACCAGAATCAGATCTGGATCCTGGCCCACGTGGCTCAGTTGGTTGAGTGTTATCCCATGCACCGAAAGGTTGCCGGTCCGATTCCCAGTCAGGGCACGTATCTTACTAAGGTTGCAGGTTTGATCCTTTGTCAGGGTGCATGTGAAAGGCAACTGATTCTCATTCTCTCTTTCTTTCTCTCTCTCTCTCTCTCTCTCTCTCTCTCTCTCTCTCTCCTTCCTCTCTAAAGTCAATAAAAACATATAAAAAAAGAATCAGATCTGGAAACCCACCCACATAGAGGATATGGCTGAAGAGATGGGAGCCGAGGGAGTGAGCAAAAGGAGGTCTAAGATCCACCCCTGAGGAAAGAGAATATTTACCAGCTGCAGCAGGAAGAAGAATCCATGAAAGAACCTGAAACAGAGCTGGAAGCAGCCTGAGAGCTGGTAGTCAAGAAGAAGATTCCTTCGGAGGTGGGAACAGTGCCTGATGCCCGAGGACTGAAGAGGCCTAGAAATCTGAGCCTGGCTTAGTGGCTGGCACACGGAGGAGCGGCTACTTTTATGGGGTCTCCTGGGTGAAATCTCTGGCGTTAGCAGCTAGAAAATTTGTTGCTGAGTTTATTAAGAGCCGCTTCAGAACGGTGGCAGCAGACAAAGAACACAGTGAATGTCCGTGAAAGGGAGTGGAGAGATGGGGCAGTCAGCGGGTCAGGACACACTCTCAGGCTGAAATGAAGGCATTAGCGGGGATTTCTGTCCTGATACAAAGATTCCACGTAATCTGCTCAGCAGAGCTGAACAGAGAAGGAAAGATAAAGGAGGGCCCTTTCTTTTTCTTTCCAGGGTGCCAAGAATCCCTGTCTCCTCACTGGAGGCAGGCTGGGGTGCTGTGCCGATGATGCAGGCTGTGACAGGCCCGTGTGAATGGCAGACAGTGCTGGGGGTGGCCATGCATCCCCATCGGCACCTGGTCACCGCTCACGTTACAGCACGCACTGCCAGGCAACACTGGTTTCTAGGGCCTATCTATCTGCAGCTTTGCTGGGGGGTTCACACTCCCATCTGTGTATGTTAAGAATCCAAGCCTTATTTATTTGTGTGTTTTTCTGTGTGGTTTGTTTTTGGTTAATCCTCACCCAATGGATATTTTCCCATGGAGATTTAGAAAGAGTGGAAGAGAGAAGGAAAGACAGAGAGAAACATCGATGTGAGAGAAACACATCGATTGGTTGCCTCCTGCACGAGCCCTGACCAGAGCCTGGGCCGGAGAGAAGCCTGCAACCAAGGTATGTACCCTTGACTGGAATTGAACCCAGGACCCTTTGGTCTGCAGGCCAATGCTCTATCCACTGAGCCAAACTGGCTAGGGTCAAGCCTTATTTATTTGTGTAAGCTGAATTGAACCGGTGACCTCTTGGTGTATGGGATGACGTTCAATCCATGGATCCATACCGCCCAGGCAAAACTGCCGTATTTAAGGGTCAAAAATGGCTAACTTGGAGCAGTTTCCTAGGGTTCCACGTACCAGCTGCTGAAATCCGTGACTGTTACATGAATGAGCAAATGAGTTCATGTATGGTAATGAGCATGACGCCGACGTTACCACAGTGCCAGCTCCTCCATGCACAGAGCTCAGCAAACTCTTAGAGAACCTCAGTGCCCGAGCCAGGCATGGAGGGCTTGAAGGAACTTGGAGGACCACAGATGTGATTAAAGATACACCAGGAGATTCCTATGGGGTGGCAAACGCTCCACTGATCTGGTGATTTTCCAGCCTCCAGGAGAGAAGCCTTCATTTCCGCAACAGAAATCTGGCTCTGATGGCGAGCGCTGAGATGAGGAAAGACCTCCTGGGAGGGCAGCTGGGAAGCTTCTCCCTCGGGAGGTCTTAGAGCAGCGGTTGCCCACCTTTCGGACCTCACGGACCGCCAGTGGTCCACTGGTTGGCGGCCGCTGTCTTAGAGATAGTTTGGGCATTTACCTGTCACTCATGACTCAGGGGTAAGTCTCCTTTGGCTGGGAAACCAGCTAAATGACCTCTCAAGGGCTTTTCTGGCCACAGGAACTCTGATACAGAGGCTGGGCGAACGCAGAGCCTGTGGGAGACCATGTGACATGAACAGACTGTGGGCAAGCAGCCATGCGAACTGCTCCTCCGGCCTTAGACACGGCTGCTGTCCCCCAGAGGAACTCACATCCGGGCCAAATCTGGCACAGCACAGAGCCATGCCTCCGTCTCCTTTCCT